GGAGTATGCCGACTAGTGAAAACCGGCCTTGACCCCTAGCCTGGAATACACATATTTGACGTGGATACGAAACGCCAAAGACGAATCATATTTATCGCTTTAGTTGATGCTGGCGGCAGCGGTTGGCATATTGCAATCCACAGTTGCGCTTTCATATGTTGGCGGAACCAGCCGTAATACTCGTATCGGTCGTCATGGAGATATAATACAATATAAGCTTGGTCTAGTAATCTGCCGCACGGTAACGATGTACTTGTTAGCTTATTCTGTATCTGTTGATACCGTTCGCCACGGGACAGTGACAACAAAGCTATTCGAAAAGTCAACAGGGGTCCCAACGGGCGATTCGAACGAGCAGCCGAAGGAAGGAAAGACGAATCTTGGTGTTCTTGGACGACGACTTCTCGTGGATGTGACAGTATCGATTTTTTCCAGGACACTTGGCTTCTCGGCGGACACGCCGATAGGCTGACAGCGACTTGCCTATAAGTAGTAGGACACGATCCTACTGCGATCTGTTCGTGCCGTCGCGGATGGATTCTGCGTGAACTGACTAAGTGGCAATAGCAGAGGCGGAAATGGGAAATGAAGGGGACAGGGGAAGCGGCCTCCCTTTGAGGTGCTTTGCTAGAAAACAGCGGGACGTTGTTGCCGTTGCAGTTCCATGCCGACGATCCCTTAATGTTCGGTCGGTCACAGCATGCGAAACTATCATGATATCCGATGAATGTTGTTGCTTGTCGCTTCGTAAGGCAATAAATGGAAGCATGCAAAAATGCAGACCTTAATTTGAACGCTGCCACATATCTGCTATCGTATTCATGATATTCCTCACCGGCTGCTCCTATAGTTGGTTCACTAGCGTGATGTAGCGGTGCCCGCTTTTTAGCAGTCAACTTGTTCCCGAGTGTCCAGAAAGGCTTGAAGGCTTCGACTGGTCTATTTTGATTCGATGCGACGCATTAGCCAGCATGTTCGTTCTGTTTCCAGCTGTTGTCTCGTACCGGCGATAGAGCAGTATTTCTGCCTCTCTAGTTTCATTTCTCTGCTTCTTCTTTTCCCAGCAAAAGAATTTGACGCTCACGTCCATTGGGTCGTGATAAATTGTTGTTATGTGACCGCTATCAATATAGGATGTAGCTAGTATATAAGACAGTGAGCTAAGGGGGCTATATAAGTTTCGTGTCACGAAGTCACAAATATACCCGGTCCGCTTGACTCACAAGATTTCCAAGTCCGAGCGAGACGTCTGCCTCTTCGTGTTGGCTAGTGTTTATGTTAGGCATAGCATGCTTGCGGTGCATCGCCTGCACAGCAGTGAGATGCCCCTTAATGTCCTACTCTGCCTATAATTGGCTAATTTGCTGCCAGTAGATTAGGCGTTCCTCATCCTATTCATGACGGTTACCACCAAATCATCACAGTTAATACGAAAGATTTCCGTCCTGCCTCTCATGATGTTATCAATGAAGCCATTTGAATGACTACCGTAGACATTGTTGCAATTTAGCTATATACGAACGCTATAACATCGTCTTGAGGATTCTATTAGGATGCCTTCAATACAAATGTGTTACACGTATATTAGAATCAGCTAGATATAGCATGCTACTTTGGTAAATGTTAAATGACATCCTCCTATCTGTGAATAAATTTGTCTACGCCCGTTACATGTACGAATAGTAAATCCAAGCCTAGACTAACTATCTTTCAGGGAAGAGCCTGTGCGTATTCGGGGCATGCTAAATGGGACCATGAGTTGGATTTATAGGATAGGTTGCTTAGAAATGAATGTTTTGTTTCATGCTCGAATGGTGCTACGTAAAAAATGTGAGCTAACGAAAATGTGTTACACTTGATCCTGTGTCTAACTGAGTGTATCCTGCAAACTTTCGAAACGTTGAAACGTCCTAATCCGGCTGAGTCGGACATATCTTGGCCAAAGTTCATTTTACCTTGCAAATATGTTCCTTCCTCTAAGCGTCCACAAATAATAACCATTAGATCATTTAGATGCCGGTACTCACTCATTTACAAATACATTAGCTTGTTTTTTTAAGCGCGCATGAAAAATACACGTATGTACAAGTAGAATAGTACAAGCCTTTTTGTCCCCCAAACGTTTCTATAGAACTCGTGCTTTTTATCCATACTAAGTACATGTTGATAGAATGCGTAAAAGAACGTCGACATAAATACTGATGATATGTATCCAATAAAGGCGAGCCTACACAGAACCCTCAAAAACTACTCCGGAAAAAATGTCGGCATATCGCGTGCGCTCGCTGTTATGTTAATGTTTCAGTAAATAATTGCTAGACGTAGATAAAGGCAGATGTAGTACACGTACAATGTATTTGCAATGCAGACATGGCTAGTCTTGCTGGTATGACTGATAGCAGGACGATTCGTGATCGTTAGTGTTACTAAAAATTTTTTAGGCCAGATGTTGCAAAGCAAATCGCCAGGAAGCCGCGGTGGCAACAGCAGCATGGGAAAAGGTACACCAACAATGGTGCTTCGAAGACTGCCGACAAACAAATTGCAAAAGGCAGATGGCACACCAGGCTAAGGCGGGTGTTCTTGTCAGCACCGTCGAAAAAAAGTTCGGTGGAAAATAAGTTCAATGATTTAAGTTGCCGTAATGACAGCGTTCAGCGTTATTAGCGCCCGTCAACCTTGCCGCTCCTATCCCTCCCGTCACCTCCTTTTCCCCGTTTACTCTCCGGAAAAAATGACGACCAATGATGGCAGGTTGCCTTCTTGTCACCTTGTTATGGTGGCGTCCCATACGATTCGGCTGTACAAAAACCATGAATAGGATAGGATAGGCTAGCGTAGCGTGCGACTTACGTTGAAAAATATGCTTCATATCCAATAATATATGTATTAATCACTATTTATAAGGCTACTTCATGTGACAGACATCCTTCGCTTCCGTCACCAGAGGGTAATGTGTTTCTTTACACACAAGTATATTCGACTGCAACAAGGCTTAGTGACAAATTACGGACGATCCTTGTCGTGTGGGCCTATACACATTATCGCCATTTCCGCAATGGAACGGTAAAAATCATGTTATTTATCTTGACCCATATGAAAGGCGGGGGGAAAAGATAATTTACTCGGAAATTTCAAACGCTATGGTGATTGCAATATTATAAATATCAAGGAACAGATAATAGTAATATTTGATCAATCTAACCAGATTAATATGAATCCATTTTAGCGGCGAAGATTCAGGGAGAAAAAGGTGAAGCCCGAAGGTTATACTAGACGGGAAGTGTGTTAAATGCAAATTTATTGATATATATATATATATATATATATATGTGTGCGTACTTAATCATTCGATACCTGAACAGAGTATCTTATTGACTGAGTGAAGAGCGCGTACTGTTCCCTTCGTATAAGAAGAATACGCGTTAAGTGTACGAAAATTAACTCTATTATTTAACTAAATTAATTTACCAGTTATGTTTTTTGCATTTTATGTTAAATCAATACAATATAGCTGAAAAGCAATGTATGCTATATATTTATGTACATAAGAAATTGGTCTGTAACTTCAAACGCGTGGCTTTATCTAACAGGATCGCCCTATCTGTTGTGGATCGATAGCAATGGACAATGGTAGCTGCAAACCCAGAATTACTCGCTGTCTAGTAACCTAACGGAATCTTGATATCTGATATATATGACAGAATCTGATAATAAAGAACAGTCGAACACGATTTACATGATAACTACCCAGTGCCTTTTTGCTGGATTCCGAAAATCCAAGCAAAATTGCATTGCGTATACTTAGAACTTCACCCGCTTCAATCAACGTCGGTATAGCAGCGTTCATACAGTAGACAAGTGCTCCTTACTTTCGAACACAAATTATCGCAGTGTGGACGGTCAGGTGATTTGTTATTCTTGAACTTGGCTAAGTTTATCATACCACTATTGAAGTTCAGCGGAAACGAGGGGTACACAGATGTGTTGACCAATTCAACTTTGTGACGACGGAAGTCGATAACAGTAATAAATAAGCCTATGGTTACATCAGTGGGGAGCGTTCCCTAATCCTAAGCAACGTCAAAAACGGTACAATTAAAAAAAGCAATATCTACGATATACAGTGTCTTATTTGGCTTTTCCTTTCGCACATATCTACAATAGAAGGGGGGTCTGTCTTCGGTCACTGACCGAAGCGTCGCTTTTTTAATAACGAAGAATAAAAGTAACCAAGAATCACAGTAACACAACTACACGATGACATCTTTTTACAGGGGCTTTTACAACAGGGGCTTAGCTGCTATGGCTTATTATCGTAGTGGTGGTGCTATAGTGTCTCCAAGATGGCTAAAGTAAGGTAAAAAGTCGCAATATCAGAGCGGCACGTTTTGGTTTCGTGAAAAACTGTATTACATGCTTTACGAGAGTAAATCTTTACGAGCGCGAAGGAGATGATGGGAATGATAATAAAATATATGAAATTATTTCGCTAAAGAAAATCGATAGTTATTGCCACATACACGCTACACGCCCGTTTTCTATCAGATCGCGTAAACACAATTAGCTTTTCGTGTCAGCTGTTTCAATTTGGTCTATATTGCTGCTGCTCTTTCGTCTCCGCCGTCAGAGATGGCATGAAATGGGAGCATCGTTACGTTTAACTATGATGAATCAGTACACGATTACTGAAGACACTTGTTGAGAAATTCACCGGCATCTACCACTAATAACGGTCAACAATGCCAGTGATTTGAAGACACTAGTCCAGACACAAGGCAAAGTGATAATTAGTGCGGCTATTTGGTTTCACTAACCCAACCTTCATGTCTGTTACGTTGCAACGTAAATCTAATGTACATTAGTTTGAACTCCGCCTCGTATACACAGCGTCGTTTCTGTATAGTTCACGAATAGAACATAGTCGTGCCCGGATGTGCCTGCGTGTGTCTGTATTATTGAAGTATGTAGCAAATGTTATATATATACTGTTGCCTTACCTCTTGGTGGTAGCTTGTGATGTCTGTTTGTTTGCCGGTCGGTCGGTCGGTCGCTCATCCACGCCGCCGTATTGACGACGCCACGATCGTCGCCGTCGTCAACGCCGAAGAGCTGTTTGTCTGCTCGACTCCCTTTCTCCCCTTCCAGCTATGCCACCAACATTGCTCTGTGACACGCAAACATAGATTCGCTCTCAGTTTCCTTCTAGTTGTCCACATCTACCTCCGTGCTCGCTCACTTTCGGGTGTCATGCATTCAACAACGCAGTACCACAAGTCCTATCTTATCCAAACTATTACGAAACTCGTAGGTGAAAAGCAACCTCCCATCTGTCTACGATGTCGACCAGCCAGCGAACGACAGCAGCTACCATACAAGCATCAGTAACAGTCTCGATAGAAGCGAAGACGAAACTATTGCTGCAAAACAGAATGCAGAACGCAGACTTTGCACTAGTGTCGTCTATACGCTGGCAAAATACTTCCTCCCTCTCCCAGATGGTCTTTCCCGTTCCCGGTTGAGTTCCTAGCGCTTTTGCCTCTATAGTTGGTTCCGCACGGCAATGGTACAGCGGCAGCGAAACGGGCCAATCGTGTCTCGCTGCTGACGGTAGTTGAAAGTCCTGCGAAGCAACCTAGCCCAAACTCTAGCGCAGGTCCGTGCAAAACGGAACTCACAACAAATCCAGAGCTTGCAAGGACAGCTGCCAGCAGTAGGGTAGTTGCTGAGTGTCAAACGGGTCACGCCAGATCAAACCGCCCAAGGCTTAGAAGATTGTTGAAAACGGATGTGACAACACATCCGCGAATACGAATGATGTTTCTGTAGAGCGCAAGCCAATGTCTTTGTATCGATTCCCGAGCTTTGTCTTTATGGTGAAGCATGGATGTATTAACGGAAGGGTGGCGACGGCACAGCGTTGGCGTACCTAGTAGTCAAATGGCAAGGCGGAAACAGTGAAACCAGCAACAACCAACTCCGTTTTCATCATTACGACACCAACAGTAGAAAGCGGGGCGCTGCAACGCAACAGAAGTTCGCAGTACTCGATTGCGTTGGGGACTTCTCCAGCTGTACGGGCGTCCTCAGCTACCACTTGTGAACATACTCTCGTCGTCGCTCGGCGACCTCACCGTTGTCATGCGTCCTTCTAAAAAAGCGTTAGATTAAAAAGGAGAGACAGAGAGAAGAGAACAACGGGGAAGGAGTGTTACACAGATAAAACTCGACAGGAGAACAGATTTGCCAGCTTCGCTACTATCGTTATCGTTCTGCGATGTTCGTTTGGCTCGATGACTGTTGTCGTAACGATGGGTGGCTGTAACGGTGGTCGCAGTGGGGGTGCATTTAACTGTGGGACGGGTTACCGCCCAGCACGGCCATCCGTGTTCTGTTATTTTGAGCGGATTCTGTAGCAACTCGCTAGCAGCTAGAACAGAGGTAGGGCAAACAGACAGACAGACGAGCACAGCTACTCTGCAGGCCACCTACCTTCTAAGCATCTTTGATTGCTATTGCTGCAGATCCTAACAGTAGCAGTGAGGTTGTTTATAGCCAAATTGCAGGCAAACAAGGGCAGTTGCAGAAGCGTCAGGCTGTAGCGGAAAAGAGGCGATGAGGCGACTCAGAATCAAAATTATGATGATAACTATGACAATGATAATTTCACCGAGACAAGCGGACACACGAGAGCAAGCGGGAGCAGAGTACTCTATCGCTGGAGGGACCAGACGAACGTTCAAGCAAAGGGAAAAATAGTGGTTGCATGGAATGAGAGATAACACGAGCAGCAGTAGTCGTCACAATAGTTGCTGTTAAGATGGCTCTAGGTTTAAAACGGCGAGTCGCGGTCAAGACTTGTTCGGCTGTTCTGACTTGGCTGGATCTTTTGCGTTTTTCGCGTTTGCTGCTCAATGGCCATTGTGCGGGGAAAGGGGAAGCGGTTCGGGCATTGACTGAAAGCCTGGAGCGGAACAGGAAAGTCTGCGGTAGTGGGAAAAAAGGCGTCCCTGTTGCTCTGACTCTGACAGTTGAAAAGCATTAGGGTAGCACGAGTAGAACAGAAAACGCCTGCTGTTACGTCTCTGTTCTGCGACTCGCCCTATGCAGCCTCCGGTCGAGAAAAGAAGCAAGTGAGAAAGCCGAAAGGGCAAAAAGCGTAAACGCAGATTGAGGATATGTACCATTTCTACAAATACCATGACGGGATCAGAATAGGGCTCGGTTTGGTGGCGTTTAGAATGCGTCTCAAATGCATTCCCCTTCGTTTCTTCGCTGACGATGGGGTGCCTCCTCAGACTACATGCGGTGACGTAAGAGCGAGTTCGTCTCGAAGGCCAGGGTTGGCTCAAGGCCTCTATCAAGGCCTCGTTTTCGACTAGTACAAGCGAACTTCTCGGGAAAACGACAAACACACTATCGAACAATAGGGCAAAGTAGGGTACTATGGAACAGACGGTTCTCATTGCACGATGTCAAGCTAATTAGAATCATTCGGCGTACATCCAAGAGCGCATGCGTACAGTGATAATGGACGATTCCATCGCTTTCGCGCGGCATTATCGTTATCTTTCATTCTCTTTGCTTCGCTTAGTGCGATCCGTCGACGTTGTGCTAAACGTGGTTCTGGGGTATTAGAATCGTCGTTCAGAGCTATGCCGATATTACTCTAACAACGGGAACATCATCTTGTGTCTAGTTGTACGGTGTGCTCTTTTGATCCTATTTTGTTAACCCGCATACGTCAGGCTATCCGATTTTTTAAATTTGTATATGCATACGTTATTATTTTTAACAGATGTAATATTAGGCACCACGTTAGTCCTCCTAGTACGCAAAAAGAATGTAATATCTATCTAGAGTAAAGGACAATTTTTTGCAATCGACTGCGATGACCCTGTTGGCGACATTTACACGACGCTTAGGTGTTTTCCGCAGATATATATGGACTTAATTTAATGATACTACAGCTCATTATTGTGTTGGCGTCTCAAACGCCTCAAAAAAGAACTTAGACGTATAAGCAGCATGGCTCATGTAGACTGTAACTGCGATGTATACAGCAGTGGCTTCTGAAGAAGGCAGCCTTTCTTATAGTAGAATCATCTGAAACTCTTCTTCGATCGAAGCTCTTATTTGAGTTATCCTACAACGTCCCTTCTCCCGTCCAGGTTTACCTTTGATCTGCTTGCTACCGTCTCTGCTCTTTCTTTTGCTAGTGTTAGCGCGATCCTTACCCGCATTTGTTCACCGTCGTCACCTTCGATTATTTGTCCGAAATTGTCGGCCGAGCATTGTGTTCCTGTCGGTGTAGCTACTTTCGACTGGAGTTGTTCTGATCCCAATGCGTCCTGCAAAAAAAAATAACATACATTTTGCTTCTTTTCTCTCTGTATTTACCTTTCTGTTTGTCTGTCTGTTTAGATTTAGTCGGCGATTAGATGACACTAAAAGCAATGCTGGTTTACCCCGATGCCTGTCTTTCTAACTCCCAACTTAATGCCGACTCCGTGTATTTTATATTACCATTGGGATTCGAACACGACTAGCAAACCCGCCAACTACCAAGTCAGACAATAGCTGCCGGTCTACTTGTTGGCTATCAAATGCAGGCCGAAATGTTCTTTGCTTTGACATGTTTTAGCGGCCAATATAGAGCATGTCAAATTAGAGACCGCCTCTTTTTTTGCTCTGTATTCCTGACGATTCACGTTGATGGCGGCAACAGCGGGATTGTCGCTGCTATCACCGACGAATCGGTTAAGGAACAGCCCAGGTGGACGAAGAGAGCCGCTGAGAAAGAAGCAAGGGACAAGTGCTCAGGGGTAAAACGGGCTTCCATCGTTGAGAGGAACGTAATGCGTTTCGAGAGTGGCCATGTGCTCTGTCGCCCGGAAAGTATTCTTAGATGTGTTGTCCATTACTTGCTGGCGGCGTTTAGTATATACGCTGTTTGGTGCTTGGTGCCATTGCTGCTGACTTCGTTGCCCGTACGCTGGAGTGCCTTGGAGGCCTCCCCTAGTGCCGCCCCTACTCCGAGGGCGAACAGCGGACCCATCCGGGTGTCCGGAGCATCCTTCGCGAAGCGAGCGGACAGCGCAGCTCGGGACGGAGCGGTTTAAACGGACTCACTTGAGATTCGTGAACGACACTTAACATATATATATATAGACGACAACGAGCAAACAGGGGAGAGCCAGGAAAAAGTCCAGCGGCCAGGTAGTTAGACCCGGCCGACGTCTCGTAGCCAGCAGTTCCGACAAAGCCTGCCCTCCGTCTTGCTTGTTGTTTTGCCCCTCAGTACGAACATTTTCACATCCAGCCAAAATCATGGAACCACTGGGCAGCCATGTAAAAACTACTCTTACACTATCCTCGAAGGCAGTCAAGTAGCATAGAAGTGTCAGCCTCGGGATTGGGCTAGAAATTGGGTAAGAAGTTGGAATTGTTTTTTTGATGTTGGGCGGGGGCGAACAATGCAGAAAAGCGTATACCAGCGTGTTCATACACAAATACTGCTGATCAGTAGTAGTAGTAGTTGGCGGTCGAGGTGTAAATTTACAAAGAGAGTCGGTTTATACTAGGATCTTACGGGGGAGGAATCGAGAGTATAAAATCAAGTTGGTTTTTTCAACACATATCTGCGGGCTGCAGTGTAGAAGCGTGACCATCATCGAATTCAGTCGGATTCGAGGTCCGAAGCCAATTTTGCACTGAGTGAGACGGGTGCCTGATGCGCTTGGATGACACCCGATAAAATAATGCTGTTAGACAATGACTGTAATATGAGGAAAAAATCCTCTATTAACATCGCCATCGCCACACGGAGTATTTTCTATCCTCCCACCAGCGGCAATCATATCTTACGGTAGCAGAAAGAACTGCTCAATTAAAGAAAAACAAAATGAAAATGCGGCACCATTAATACAAAAGGTGATTTTTGCAGCGCATTCACTTTCAAATTGCGATACTGTCGCTTATCCTATCGCCTTACAAGCTCCTAGGTACTTTGATTGAGCGACAACGATTTAACAGTATGTATATATACATCTAATTCTATTGTATTATGAAACCTTTTGCGAATATATGTTTTTTTACTTTATTATACATCTAATTCGTGCCTTCGTTAACTTTTTGTAGACATACGAAAGCATTACATTTTTTTAGCATACGAAAGTGGTCATCTGTGATAGTCGTGTGTTGAAAATAGGTCGACTAGTAATAACAGTCGTAGCTGTTGTAAAGTTTTTGTTGTTCGAAGTTAAACGGAACTTTGAGAATCTACTTAACTCCGCATCGTTGTTTTACTCGGCTAAGTGGCTTTACTCTATAACATACGGCTACTGTATCGCTTTGAATCGTTGAAGAACGTTTGACTCCG